TTGTCGAAAAGTTATTAGTTCATAATGAAAGCAGTTGTACGTTAATCTTCAAATTCAACCCAGGAAATCAATAATGAGACAATACAAACCATTCGAAACATCTTCATACATATTGAATAAACTAGTGAATCTTCGGAGACTCAGGATATTAACACATAATACACTAAGTTTCAAGAGATAGATCCTGAGTTTGAGTGTTGAATGTAGGTACATCCATCAATGAATCGAGTTTTACTGTCGTTTACTGGTTAAGTCATTTGAATTCTAACTAAGTAGGTTTTAATTATGAGTCAGCACTATCCGTAATTCGATTTAGCGAGCCAGATAGTTTTACTAGCCTTTAGACAAATAATATGACTCAAAGCTAACCATATTAACGTGTACAGTATAAGGTGGTAGTTGCAGGTAGTCTAGATAAAACCCTATTTGACCTATATTTCATGTTATTTGATACTTGTCAGTAAAGCGTACATGTAATTTTGAGGTAAATAAATCGACTTGGTGGAGGTCAATCACGACCTTAATAGCTGTGCGGTGAAATCTCTGACCGTGGATCTGGTTAACAGAATCAAATTCACCGGTGCGCATCGGTTCCCTTAATATCAAAGGGATACGTTGCTGACAATTACCAAATAACGCAAAGCTTAGATCAGTGATTTCCCGTGGAATACATTCTACCACCTAACATCTCAACATAGTCTATGAGTAGTCGAGTTACTGAGAACGAAGGCCACATTGAGATCTGATCGACAGAATTTGATCAGCGCCGAAACAGACAACACATACATGACATAGGGGTTACTACTCAATGGTCAAACAATTGTAAAAACTTGCACAGTTGATATGTTAAGATACTACTTTTTTTATTATTCACCTATAAAATATGTGTAGTATCGGTTGGTATGTTAAGCCCATATACCTTATTCTCGCTTTCGGACAGGTCAATCTATTATTATTATTAATTATTCGCTTATCAATCTTGACTGTTTTTATATGAGCCCAGATATGTGTGCCCTTCTTTTGCTATTCATCACATGTCTGTAGCTTATTTTTGTGACTATGATTATTGATTAACCGTTGGTTAAATGGAGTTGGCTCACATGCCTACTCTACTGCGCGTCATTTCCCTACGCTCTCTTCTCTTCGCGTCATTCCTCGATTTCCTGTTCAAGTCAATCAGTGCATGAAATATACATATTCAAAATCCATTCTCGTATTTAGCTTATTTAATTCCGTTATTCACTAATGCTATTTAAGTCGATGGTAATAGACGAGGATTTACAATATTATATATCTCAACAGCAATCAGAAACAATCTCACCGGAGTCACAACCCATACCACTAAATTGGTGAGCACGTCAACAACATTGACTTCAAAATGAAGGTTTTTAATGATAACATTTACTTACCTCTTTCGCTTTTGATTCTAGTACAAGTCTTTCTGTAATCCATGCTTCTTGTTCACCTTCATATTGTTCTTTAATACTACGATAACGTCGTTGATAATCAATAACATTATTATGTAATGATTCATTTTGTATTTTTAATTCAATATTAGTACGATTCAATATATTAATATGTTCATTAAGTAAAGTGATTTTTGTATTAGGCTGTTGAGCTGCAATTGCTTTTGCATATGTATTACCCATATTGAAATTCGTAAGATAACCAGTTATATCCTTTAAAAAAAAACCCAGCTAAGTTAACAATCATTGTATGTTAATAAGGAGTTTAGACAATGAAATGCAAATCATTATACAAATTGATTCATGGATTGGTTAAAGTTAGACATTAACACCGTCGGATACCGACACAATGATCTAGAAGGTTAGGCGTTCACACACGAGACTAAAGGTCCTGGGTTCAAGTCCCGCATGTGGAGTCGTGGATACGCACTACTGAGGAGTCCCATACTAGGACGAAACGACCATCTAGTGCTTCTAGGTTTTCCATATTTGAATACAACATTACAGAATATCCTGGTAAAATCTGAGAACCATATAGTAAATACTTCATTTGTAAAATGTCAGTCGATCATCCCAGACTTTATTGTTCTATCACTTCCACACTAATCATTTTATGTTCTCGTTCTCCTTTCTTCGATCTTCTTAATCTTTTGCCACCAGACATTTCACTTTCGATTGATAATACATACTACTTATATCCGTCGACACCAGTAACACACACCACAGTATGAATGAAGAGCTTAAGATTTAATGACGTTCAATAATAATGTGATATATCTTACTTAATCTGTGTTAAAACTACTCTCGTTCAATATCATACTTGAAATATACTAAAATGAGAAGTATACTGATTGTTATACATTACAACATCGCCCCCCCTTTTAAGCAAGGAGATGTTTACTATTTGTGTTTAATATATCCATTCTGACTTTAAAGTACTATTATCTAAGCTCATACGTGGTGTACTAATATAATATGTTAATAAGAGACTGGTCTAGGTGATCGACATACTTGGTTACTTGAACAGTACATAATACAGAGGCTAGAGATCATATTATATCAGATATACAATTCACAACCAAGAATAGAGAATCAGAGTAACGCTAGACAATATGTTATTAAAAGCAGTTACCCTAAGTGAATCCAAAGCAGAGATCAATAGGAGGAAGGTAAATCACATATTTAATAGTCAGTAAGTTGAGTGCCTGTTTTTTCCACGCTCAATGATCAGTGACATTTTACTCTTACTACCACAAATCACAGTTAATGAGGTCTTTGGGATTTGAAATCGGCCTATATTGCTCTTACATGTAAAGAATTACCGATAATTTATTCAGACTATGATAAACTTCTTCATACTAATCAATTACTGAATAGTAATTATCATCATATCTAAGACTTGATGTTTTGAATACTCCGTTAATTCATAGTAATCTATTCAACAGATTAGTAAACAAATAGCTGATGACTTCAGTGGTTGATATGATGAGCCTATTGAAGTTAGACGAAGATGGAAAACCTGAAAGCACTAGATGACCGTTTCGTCTTATTGTGGGACTCTTCAGTAGTGTCCATCGACGATCACACCTCACGAGATTCAAACCTAGGACCTATGAGTCTACAATGTGGATAACTTTGAACTTTAAATTTATTTGGTTTAGATCAATAACAGTGTCCGATACCTATACCTTGTTAGATTTAATCTCTATGAGTGAATTCCCATGAACTTGTTAATGAATTTTAAATTCTATAACAAGAAAGATAGTAGTATAGTTCAAACATTAGTTTGTTGTTAGGATAATTTCAGTTTAGATTTTCTAGTTAGCTCCTTATCATTTAATCACTCTCTAGTTAATGTGTATTAAAACTGTAATAGTATCATTTAGACAAAATTCAAATCAGGTGAATTACAGTCTTCACATTGTGAAATGAATTTGACTTGACCGATATTGATGTAAATGGTTCAGATGGGGGTGATCTTCTTGAAATCGGATTCATTCAACGAAATAGTTTTACAACAAATCTCCTATTATTTGATCGATTTCAACATTGATTAGAGGCTATCAAAGTACATAGAACAAACTATTTGTTGTATGTGGAGAAATTCAAATAGATCATTTTTGATAGAGCTTTGTTCTCTAAGCTAAATAGTTTGATTGGGGAGCTTTCATCGTTCGTCTGAATGATATCAACAGTACAAACTTCAGGTCAATCACTTCTATCTTAAGTTTATGTTAATGCTATTCTCTAGAAAAACAATGAAATATAGTGAAACGAATGATGAAATATCTATAAATTTCATGAATATGGAACTTTCACTTGATATTGTTTTGCTTGAATCTTCCCATTAAGGTTTAAGACTGCTATTAATCAGTCTGTTATTGGCATATGTGCATCCTGTGCGTATGCCTCGATATTGCCCTAATTCACAAGCTTTTTGTAAACAATGATGGATAGTGGCTAGCACTGGAATCAGGAGCTCGCGTTTCGACCTATTTGGGATTCGTCAGCTGGATGTACCTGCATCTGAGTCGATGTTCACTCTGGGACTCGAACTCAGTGCCATTCACTTCAAACGTCAATCGCGTTATCCAATCAGTTACTGAGTCCTGATAGCCACTTGCTTGTGCAATGGGGTGAATTTAAATTCACTTGGTGTTATTTTACTTGTATCTTCTCATTGAGGTTAAAGACAGAAATTGATCAGTCGTGTTTTGTTGGCATATATACATCCTGTGCATAATGCCTCGATATTTCCTTAATTCAAAAGTTTTATAAACAAAGATGGCTAGCAGTGGCTAACATTAGAATCCAGTTTGATGCGGGTTTCGTCCTAATTGAGACTCGTCAGCAGGAACTTTGTTTTATTATTTTTATCATTATGATTATGAAAGAGGACGGAGGATGGGAAAGAGAAAACATAATAAATGATTACCTTTCTACTTCTTTCTTCTGATGTATGCCTTTTATCTAATTTACAACGTAATTTTTTTAATTCAATATATAAATCATCTTTTTCACGTTTAGTTAATGATAATTCTCTTCTTAATTTATCCACTTCAAATCCACGTCGATTTAACATTAATTCACGATTTGTAAGATTATTATTATTATTATTATTATCTGATTGACTTGAATCACGATTAGTATGATTAATACTACTATTATTATTGGTAGTAGTATTAGTAGTAGTACTCATTAAAACTGCTTCTTCCATACGTTTACGTAGATTTTTCAATTCTTGTTCTTTATTTGTAAGTCTATTTAGTTAAAAAGTAATAACATGTAAAGTTAAAAAAAAATATGGCGTATTCAATTATTAATGAAATAAAAACTGAATTACACAAATCTTAAGTATGATTTTAAGTAAAGATGGATAGTTGCTAACAGTGGAATCCAGTTTGATACGCGTTTCGTCCTATTTGAGATTCGTCAGCTGGATGTACCTGCATCTCAGAGTTGATGTTCACTTTGTGACTTGAACCCAGAACCGTTCGCCTCAAACGCCATCTCGTTAACCACTTAGCTACTGATTCCTGATAGCCATTTGCTTTTGTAATGGGGTGAAGTTTAAATTCATTTGGTATTGTTTGCTTGTATCTTCCGATTGTTGTGTAGGATCGCAATAGATCAGTCTCTTATTGGTATATGTATAAACGACTTTAAGGGACAATTGTTAATGTAAAGGGTAATAGTACCATCAGAGTTTGGAGAACGAAATAGATTAGTCAATTTATACTGAAATCCATAATTACAGTGCTGATTCATACAAGAACAGAAAATGGCTCTCCCTTCCGATCAATTACAGTTGCTATTTCAGTGACAACAGAAGAGCTTTATAAAGAATAAGTTGGAGTTTATAGAGAAATTACACACACGGCTGTTGAATCATCCATTCTTTGGAGATGTGACGGAAGTTAATGAACTAATTTCTAAATTGCTTACAGAGCTGAAAAATGATTGTAGAATGTATGAATGTGTCGATAAAAGCTTCTATCAATCCTTGACAAGCAGTAATGTAAGCGAAGCATTAGCAGTCATTCATGATCCGCTCAGTGGTTCAGAAACGTCCATTTCAGAGACATGCCCTGTAACGAGTTCAAATCACATTGTTCCCGAAACACAATATACAAACACTGACTTCTCCAGCTCACAGAAAGACGATGTCTTATTAAATGCTCATGAAATTTTCACAGATTGAACTCATGAGTCAGTTGAAGCTAGACCACCATTGAAAACCTGGAAGCACTGGACGGCCGTCTCGTCCTAGTATGGGACTCCTCAGCAGTGCGCATCCACGACCCCGAACCACCCGGGGCTCGAACCCAGGACCTACTGGCTTCGCGCGCGAGCACTTAACCATTAGACCACTGAAATTATTTCAGTATCCGCCTACGAAAAAAATGAATCAAGTAGCATAATGAAGATAGTTGTATTAAAGGAGCTCATCATTCTACGACAAAAGTATTTGATGAATCTACTTATCGGACTGTTTTAGTTGTTTTACCAAATTTGAGTTATCTTAATAACTTATATGCTTTTGATCGAATTTCTTACAAAAATGAGAAAAATTTGTCGGATGTATTGAATGACAGTCAAAAACCTAATGAAATTTTGATAGATGCTGATTATTCTAGTGATCCATTATCTACTAATGAGATTTTCAAGAAATTCGGTGAAAATGTATCGGAAGAATCAAACCTTAATGGCTTCGTATCAAGTGTCGTTGATCCTCACCATCTAGTCAGTTCTCGTGAACTCTCTATTCAATTCGGGAAATATGTTTTAAATAGGGTCACATTAACTGTAACCTGGGAATATGAGGACCCAACATTATTTCGTGGGGGAGGATTAAGTCCAAAAAAAATTAGAGTCAGGATTTAAACTTTGAGACTTTCAAGAAAAAATGAAGGAAAGGTGATATGACAGGAAGATATAAAAAGTAGCATTAAAAGAGTCAAAACAATCAGCATTCAACTGACAAGTTATAACATGAATATTACCTGTCTTTTAATTCTTCATATCGTTTCTCCACATCTATTCGTTTTGATTCAGCATTTTCACATTGTATTTTGATATTTTCTGTATTTTGCCTAGATTCTTTCAAATATGCATGTAATTCAGTTAACATTTTATCTTTTTCAGTAATAGCAGTACGTAATTGAAGTACTTCATTGCCAAGATGTTTCATAGTATCTTCATTCTGATCAACGATTCTTTTAAGTTCATCACGATTCACTTTTGTATCTTTATAGAATGTTAAGAGAGGAATATTTATATACATTAATTATTAGTGAGTAAAATAAAAGACTTTGTTAATACTCTAAGTGAATATGAAATATTAACTTTATAGATAGTATATCAATGCACTTCTTACACATAGCTGTCCATTCTTTATTATAGAGTCTGATTGATACATGACACAACTTAGTCTATTTCTTACGAACTGTCTTGTAAGCCATTTATTGGTAGATAATTGGATCCTATATATGTAAATTGACAGATTACTACTATTGTATGAATTGTCCAATTTGTAGTTAAAATAGTCATAGGATGAACTCAACTAGACAATCATTGATAACTATTGGGCACTGATCACAAACCTCACCGAGGATAGAACTCAAGTCCATCAGGTCTTGCAGTGAGTACTTAGTCTTAAGATCACTAGAATTGGCAACTATTGGTAACTAATGATTTCAAATTAGGTAGGTCTTCAAAATCGTCAAACGATTATCCATTGGCAATAGCGATATATGTACCACACTAAATATAGTGGCACTACTGAATGTCCTTTATTTAATTTCCACCATGTTGGAGATTTAATTAATGAAATGCTGTACATGAGTATAAAATCAACCGAACAAATATTAAAAGAATCTTGAAACCTGTTGTCATACATTAAATATTTTATACATCAGATAGCTCAGCATACAATTTAGTTGATAAGTTTAAACTACTGATTAATATAAAAGTAGTATCAAATGCATGCAGACATTTTTATTATTGTGGTACCAATATTTTTCCAAGTAAATTGACATTTAAGAATGGTGATTTCAGATACTAAACTGTAGAACAAAACAGTAAAGCTTATTTCTTATCAAAAAATAACTTTATGGTGTTGGGTTTTAGCTCACATAGTGTAAATCACGAGATTATCTTACGTAGAGCACCACTGAAAGTTTGGAATTACTGGGGAGATGTTTCATCAGAAGTAATCATGAACATTCATGAACGTGTAGGTGTGAATCAAACCTACAACTATTGGTTTAACGCGTATACATCTAAATTTAGTCAAAGACAAGGGAAAAAGACCATCCTTTATTAACAAAAGATCTGTCATTTTAAGAAAGAAATTTTCATACCTTTCAACTCTTGTGTAGTAGTATTCAACTCAGCTCGTAGTCTTTCAATTTCTGCAATTTTAGTACTTAAACGACAAGATGCTCCACTGATTTCTGCAGCTTTGGCTTGAGCTAAATCACGTTTTGTTTGTTCTAGCTATTTAATAGACATGAAAAAGAACATTCAAAGTATGACCATTCCAGTTGAAAAATATTTTTATGACGAAAGTTTGTGATAATATGAGGGAACTGAGGGGAAATATGAAAGTTGTAGAAGCTATTCTTTGAAGGTTAAGTAGATTTATTCATAATGAATATTTATTGAACACTTGGTTTCTGTATTGTTGACCGTTCATGGTTTGAAGTATGTCAGCTAAAAAATTGCAGTCTTGTATTCATCTTATGTAACCATATGAGGTTTTTAAGCCTATATACTGCAGACTAATGTCGGAAAGAGTATAAAGATTAAGTATACGGTTATTATTGTAGGGAACACAGTGTTCGTGAGTATATGGTAAGGTTATAACAGCTAAAGGGTACATGTTGTGATTTCTAAGGTGATATATGTATTTTCGATGAACAGCAACATGTGATAAACATTAGCTAAGCAAACTATCTTTCAGGTGTTCGACAAAATATAATTGACAGATTTTGATTAAGATCATGAACCGATTGATGTCCCACAATAGGACGAAACGGCCGTCCAGTGCTTCCAGGTTTCCAAAGATGGTTTAATGTCAATCGGTTCATGATCTCAATCAAAATCTTAATAATCTCCACAACCCCTATACTAATAATTGACAGAATTTAATTAATATAGTTTAATGGTCATATTTAACTGATAATCAGCTTACATAATGAATTCATCTCTACTCAGAATTAAGATGTCAAACAATGTCAACGTGATTGATCTTATCCAAATACCAGGGGCTTTTCAGCACATATTAGTTATAAATAAACGTCATATGTTAATGCATTTGAAAAAACTAAATAACTAGGGACTATATTCTGTTAATCATTTGGGTTGCATAGTAAAGGAGATAGTCATTGAGTTTGACTGCAATCGATCAGTCTCATATTGGTATATGTGCATCCTGTGCTGATTGCCTCGATATAGCCTTAGGTCACAAGCTTTTTAAGTAAATATGGATAGTGGCTAGCAGTGGAATCCAGATACATCGATCTGAAGACATCCCAAATAGGACGAAACGCGCATCCAACTGGATTCCACTGCTAGTCACTATCCATATTTGCTTGAAAACTATTAGATAGTTCTAAAATATTCATTTCATTATCTGGTGTTTAATAATTTGATGTCACTGTATTCCACTGAGACGCAAACCCATTATTCAAAACTCCAAGTCTCTTATCAATTGGTTAATAGATGAAACATGCTGCATATTATTACTTGTCAGGGTTTTCATTTCATGATTTTCGATAATCAAGACTGAAATGAATGATATCTGATGACTTTCGAACTACTTGAGCGGATAGATGCTTAAGTCTCAATAGTAGCATCTAAACTGATATGTAATTACGTCTAGCTGGAAAGTTATCTACAGAATGAAAAACATTCTGATTTTTTTTTGATTGAGATTATGAATCGATTGATGTTAGAGCACCATTTAAGACCTAGAAGCATTGGACGGCCGTTTCATCCTACTATGGAACTCCTCAGAAGTGTCCATACATGATCTCGCACTCGGGGTTCAGACCTAGGGCCTTCGATCTCGCTCGCGAAGGCTTAACCTCTAGATCACTGGGTCCATGTCAGGCAGAGCCAGGTATCTACCTCGTTGAAATGGAAAATGGTCGCTCATTTTCGTGGATTGGTTGAGGTTAGAAATTAACACCGTGGGATGCCGGCTCAGTGGTCTAGAGGTCAAGCGTTCATGCACAAGTACAAATTCAATGGTTTTAATTGGTAAAGGTTGACTATGCCAATGTATCATTCAAATTTAAGATAATGGCTCTCATATTTTTGATTGACATTCATGACTCAATGATGGATAGCTTGTACTGTATTAAAGTAAATCCCACCAATATTTCGTTAGTAAGTTGTTAAATGGTGATAAACATCAGAAGACTTAAGAATAACGATCATGATTAATGGATTTTCGAATGTAACTTATCGGTGATTGGTTTGTTAGATCCATGATTTAACTGTATAAATGGTAATCCATATGAATAGAAAGGAATCTTCCATTAGATATCTAACTATCATTATTGACCCAAAATCTTAATCTTGACACTTTTTGAATATTTTTTTAAAGAATGTTATTGTGTCTGTTATTCAGTTAAACCACTTGGATCCCGATTGGCTAATTATCAGCCCAATGTCGTCAATACAACATAGCCTTCTGTAGTATGTAACACCAATTAGAATTGGAACACCTGGCAAGAGAACCAGAACAGAGAGCAACTCTAATAGCAACGAAGGAACAATGAAGATTGAGACAACTGATGGATAATTTGCAAATGAAATATTGAATGTGTGGTTTTCAAGCAGTTAGTTGAAATTCACTTAGTATTGTTTACTTGTATCTTCCGATTGATGTTTAGGACTACAATTAATTAGTCTTTTATTGACATATATGAATTCTGTGTGGATTGAGTCGATATAGCATTAATTCACAAGCTTTTCAAGCAAAGATGGATAATGGCTTGCAGCAGAATCCAGTTTGATGAACGTTTCGTCCTATTTGGTACTCATCATCTGAATGTACTTGTATCCCAGAGTTGATGTTCACTCTGAGACTTGAACACAATACCATCCATTTCCAACGCCATCACTTTATCCACTTCACTTGGCTACTTAATCCTAATAGCTACTTGCTTTTTGTAATAGGGTGAAGTTGAAATTCACTTGGTATTGTTTTACTTGTAGCTGCAATTGATCAATCTTATATTACCATTTGCATATACTGAAATATTAGTTTATTTGAAATATTACATAATATGTTATATAATCTATAATATTATCATTGAGTCAATATATGATTATTATCAGAATGGGTTTTGTGGAGATTTTTAGGAATTCCACTGGTTGAAATCATGAGTCAATTGAAGCTACACCACCACGGAAAACCTGGAAGCACTAAACCGCCGTTTCATCCTAGTATGGGACTCTTCAGCACTGCTCATCCACGATCCCGCCCCCGCGGGTTTCGAACCTAGGACCTATCAGTCCCACGCCAGGCGCTTAACCAACTAGACTACTGAGCCGGCATCCAACGGTGTTAATGTCTAACTTCAACCAATCCACGAAGTTGCGCCACCGTACACCACTGTCTTCAGTGAGTTATTATCTCACAACAGACCTGGTTGAACTCCACTAATTAAAATTTCAATAAATCAATTTACTTCTTACTTCACGTTTCATTTGTTCAATAGATGATTTATGTCCACGTATTTCATTATTACGTCGTTCTAATTCATCATCTTGTTCAAATATTGAATCTTCTCGTAGTTTTAATTCTTCTTGAAGTTCTCTATTGTCTTTCATTAATTTCTCCTTTACTTTTTCAGCTTGTGTAAGATTATTACGAATCTATTTTAAATGATAAAAGAAAATATAAAAATTAACATTTAAGTGTAAATTTCCTGTTTCATGATTAACAAATAGAATTCAAGTTTTTTATCTTTTCTCACTTTGTGTAAGCAAATATGGATAGTGGCTAGCAGTAGGACCCAGTTTCGTTCTATTCGTGACTCGTCAGCTGGATGTACCTGCATCTCAGAGTTGATGTTCACTCTGGGACTCGAACCCAGTACCATTCGCTTCAAACGTCATCGCATTATCCACTCAGCTACTGAGCCCTGATAGCCACTTGCTTGTGCAATGGGGTGAGTTTGAATTCACTTGGTATTGTTTGTCTTGTATCTTCCCATTGAGGTTTAAGACTGAAATTGATCAGTTTGTTATTGGCATATGTGCATACTGTGCGTATGCCTCGATATTGCCTTAATTGACAAGCTATTTGTAAGCAATGATGGATAGTGGCTAGCAGTGGAATAGGACAAAACGCGCGTCCTAGTAGTCATCAATCTATTCGTCTAGTAAGGTGTTATTTAATTAGGAATTGTATTTTGAAGTTACTGACATTGAAAACCATATTTAGGACGTGTACATTTTGAGAAGATGATTTGTTAATACCTGTAAGTACTGGTTTTTAATCTACTTTTGAATGGTGAGAATCAAGATCATTGATAATAAATGTCGACAGGTGATTGAATCATAGTTCTAAAAGAATCGATAAGCTGATGATGTAGTTCAGAACAACGACTAAACCATCCATCTCAGAGGATAAAACTTCATCAGAATTGATCAACCTTCATCTTACTTCCGTCAGTAGGCTTGATAAAGTTTTAATTCAAAGACAAGTTAATAAATAAAAGTTAACCTGGAAGATGATGTCATTTTTAATATAATATGGTCTACTCTACTTATGTTAACACATATAAGTAGGTAGTATTTAACACCAATCCAAAATGGAATGCATGCCAGTAGAAGATTGAGAAGAATGAATTGAAAAGTACAGGAATGTAAATAGATTGTAATTGTAATAACAAGAGGAGTGAAGGAACAATGAAGTTTGTGATAGACAATTGATGAAACATGTACAAATAAAGTATTCAATATATGGTTTTCATATAATTCTGTATTAAACAATAATGTGAATCGCCCCCCACCTGAGTTCCTATTCACTACAATGGATTATAGGTTGTCTTAACTAGTTGAAAATGTGGTCTTTAGTATCAATCTACACATTTAGAAAGTAAGGAATTCTTAAGGTTTTCATAGTTCACAATGTACTATACTATTAAGATGTTTCGAAATATCAGGATGGTAGGTTAGGTAAAGTATGTTGTTAATAAACTTCACGCAATAACTTTGTAATGTTGGTTACTATGTTAAACCCATATAACGTATTCTAGCTTCTGAACAACTCAATTTATCCATTCTTCTTGAGTCAAATATTGACTTTGTTAGTTATTCCCTTATCATTCCTGACTGTTTTTATATGCGCGTATATGTGTGCACACTTTTTATCCTATTCTCCACATGTCCGTAACTTATTCTTATCTGGCTATAAATATTGATTAACGCTTGATTAAACGGAGTTGGCTCACACGCATTCTGTACTGTGCGCCATTTCACTTCACTCTCTTTTCTTCGCTTCCTTCTCTTCATCCTTCTTATTGTCTGTCCATATCAGTGAGTGTACAAAGTATAAGTATTCAAACATCTATTATTACATTAGTAACCAAAGCGATTTCATTCGATGATTATATACGAGGATTGGTGATATGTATATTTCAATAACATTTGTACAATCTAATTGGAGTCAGATTCAGGGCTACTAAAACATTTTGTTTAAACAAATTTCCGGAGGATATAAATATGCATATTTCAAACGTTACCGAATGTGGCTGTTTATTATTGATAGTTGATATCACAAATGTTAACCCTGACGAATTCATACGTTATTCTCTAAACAGACACTCGATGATAACAGGCCCGAAATGTCTAGATACCTATTATTCTATCAAGTCATTTAATACAGATTCCAAGTTTCATAAGTATCCTACCATCTTCCCTTAGTATTCTTTATCCATATTTTGAAAATAGAACATACGTAACTAAGCAAAGATGGATAGTGGCTAGCAGTGGAATCCAGGAGCCACTTTTCATCCTATTTAGGACTCGTCAGCTCTGCTTATAAAAGCTTGTGAATTAAAGCAATATCAAGGCATACGCATATGGTATACACATATACCAATAATAGACTGATCAATTTCAGTCTTAAACTTCAATGAGAAGATACAAGCAAATGAATGCCAAGTGAATACGTAACTAAGTCTAAAGTTATTTCAATCACTAACTGACTTCAGGGATCGAACCCAGGGCTCTCAAGTCTTAGAGTAAGCATATATATACATATAATGATAATATTATATTATCCTCAGGGCTACTTACAATTTGCATTTCTTTTCTCATACATTCAATTTCTTTTTTATAACTAGTTATTTCAACATTGGTCCCCAGTTTTTGTGACTGAAAAAGAAGATCAATAAAAATAAGAAAATACCAACAAAAAAAATCAATTTCAACAAAACTATATTGACATGGTAATAGATCCCTTGATCCCATTGTTGAATTGAAAGGGATGATTTCAATCGAATTATATTGGAGGTTGAATGTTTAAAGAATAATACGGCATCACCACATTTAATATTGAACAATATAAAGGATAATAAACGAGTTCCACTTCTAATAAAAGTCTATTTTGGAAATTGTCCTCATTCTATAAATATCATAAGATGGTTGTTGAAGGCAGTCCAACAGGACCTGACCTACATGACATTGACCATTACCCCCAATGATCAATCAATAATTGTATCTATAAATATCATATTGTTTTATGGAATCTCTTAAAATCAACTATTCAGTAGATGAAAGTAATTGAATTGCTTGAAATTTAATAATCTTGATATATACTATGTGAACTATTGAAGTATCTACTGAAGTACCTATTTCTTATTTCATAATATATAAAGTTTCGTCAATATCAGTTGATATGCTCCATATGAAGTACCTTGATATCTTCTGATCATTCGTTATTCTTCTGTCTGTTAGAAACAAGTTATAGCCTGTCAAATATTCCAATATTTGAAAGAACCAATATTGATTGAAAGGTTCAGTAGGACAACATCTATATGATCAGTATTAAACTAGACTAAAAGGATATTTTCAACTTTATTCATTTTATGAACCAAACTCAATACTTTTAAATATTGTATACATTTCCATCATAAATTACCAGTTGAGGCAGTTCCAAGCAGTATTTTGAAACATGTTATGATGTCAGTAGATTTACAAGTCTACTGTATAATTGTAGAGAAGATATGTAGCTCAGGTGGATGGAGCTTTTATCGTTCTTCCGAACGATATCATCAGCACGAACTTCACGATCAAAACATCCAGCTCAGGGAACAAAACTCTATCAAAATTTGTATAAACGTTTTATGTGAAACATCTTCAGATCTTAGGTTATTTTTCATTTTATTCAAATGTCTTAAAAATAACCTCATCATCAAATTTACATCATAGACTCATCTCCTTCACAGGACATGGTTAACAGATAATTGAAATCTTGCGACGACCAACATACCATTAAATCATCTAGTCAGCATCTGATAGTGTACGTGTTTAATCTGAACTAATTAACTGATCATACTAGAAAGAAAAATGTGCTTAGGTCATTTTGCTTTCCAATACTTTTCTAATTAAGATCAGTCTATGATGCATAATATAAACATTCAACAATCTATACAAACACCTATGTCAATGAAAGGGACACAATTGAATAGTATCAACCAACAATAGATCAACATAAATTCATCCGAATATTGTAAAAGAATAAACAAACCTTGATTTCACTTGGTTCCTTCTCCATTAATGCACGCATTGCTTCATTCATTTTACGCATTTGTTCAACACGTGATTTTAAATCAGCAATTTGTTCATCACGAGCATCAAGTATTTCTTCTTTTTCATCCAACTAAAATAAATTCGATGTAATTCATCTCAAATCATTGAAACAAATTAACAGATCTCAATAAATATTTATGTTCAATTCATGAATCAATTCAAGTTAGACCACAGTGGTAAACGTGAAATCATCAGCCGACCATTTCGTTATATTATGGGACTCCTCGGCAGTGCGCATGCACGATTAACCTCTTGACCACTGAGCTGATATCCAACGGTGTTAATGTCTAACTTCAACCAATCCACGAAAATGCTCGATCATCTTCCATTGTGTCGAGGTATATATCTATCTCTACGTGACATGGATTAGCTCCATTAACCACGGCTTCCCACTAGAACTTCGAAAATTCCCTCATAATGCTAGTCAGTAGTGAGCACATGGTAATTATGCGGTTGTAGAGATTATTAAGTTTTTCATTGAGATGATGAATCTATTGATGTTAGACCATCATTAAAAACCTGGAAGTACTGGACAGCCGTTTCATCCTACAATGGGACTCATCAGCAGTTATTCTAGTTTCTGAACAGATCAAGTTATTCATTTTTCTTGAATTAAATGTTGACCTTGTTAATTGTTCGTTTCGTTTAGGCATTCCCTTGCCTGGGTTCGCCTCGATTCGATTTGATTATGGATACTGAGTCACGCTTAACTAAACTGAGTTGGCTTACATGCTTTACCAATTTACATACTCATGTGAAGCTAGGTAGATAGGTCGTTTGATGCGTACTTTATCCGAAAGAATTCAAGAACATTATCCGGCGTGACTAAAAACAGGAGGAAACGGCTGAATAACAATTTCAATAATCGAACACCATGTGAACACAGGTCACTCAGTCGAAGTCATCTGAAAGGTAAGTAGAAGTCTTCTAAAGACAATTAGATTGAATCTTCTTTGCATTGCCGAAGTAATATACATACATCTGGAAAAACCAGAATTGTGTGTGCAAAAGAAATTGGACCAACCTCTTCTTCTAACATGGTCTTAATGTCTTATAATCTTTTTCTTTTTTTTCCTTCCTCATACTCTTCTTCCTTTACAGCCATCTGCTTCATCTTCCATCTTCCCCTGAAATCTTCTACCCCCAACTGGTTTTTTTCTGTTTCTATGGTCCTTGTGATTACATTTAATCTCAATTTCAACATTTTTTAAAATCATACTGAACCATCCTTCCCCCCTCATCCTTTCACATAACTGCCAACATCAGAAAGAATATCTAATTCAATGAACAATGATACTGACTTGATTTACTTACCTCTTTTTGTAATATTTCACTTCGTTTACAATCTAATTGTTTTATAGAATTCTGATCAATAGAAATATTGGATTTCGATGCTATTTCTAAATGTTTTTGTAAAATTAAAGTATGTTGATGTTCTTCAGAGAGAAGTTTTTCCAAAGATCGAATTCTTTGATATGGATCCTAAATGATAAGATGAAAACAATCATTATGAATAGGTATTCAATTCTAATTTCATTGAGTGAATTTTAAAATGATTTATAGCTTAGATGAATGATTTGGATGATGTTTTTTTCTTTGAGTGAGATGGTTTGCTTGTGGAGCATTCACAGTTCTTCTGAACGATATCATTAGCAATAATAGGTTTAAGGTCAATATTACTTACTTTCATCATGAGGCGTCATAGTTCTTCTAAATGAAGACCTTCTGACTCCCAGGGCAGAGTTTAAAAGGTTTGAATAATTTTTTCTGGTTAGCGTTTTTTTAGCGAATTAGTTTTCTACGGGATGGGGACGCTAACCACATGCCCAACCCTCCTCCTTTATCCAGGCTTGGGACCGGCAGTAGCCAACCGAGGGACTTCAGGTCAATATGAACCATTAAAAATCCAGGTCTACAGGACAACCTATGAACCATATGTAGAGAAATTTGAACACTTCACTTCTATCTGAAGTTTAGGTTGATTGAATGTATCAGAAATCTGAAGCTCATTCACAATGACTAATTTTGTCAATTAGATCTAAGCATTAAGCTGCCATACATATTCCAGTGTAATTTGAAAATTTCATCATGATAATCTCTTATCATTATTTTGATTTGAAAAGATAATTAACTGATACAGACATTCTAAACTGTGATATCTACAGTAAATTGTACACTTTGACAATTTAAAAAGATTTAATTTATTCATGAGTTGATTAAAGCTAGACCACCATGAAAAACTTGGAAGCACTGGATGGCTGTTTCGCCCTATTATGGGATTCCTTATCAGTGCACATCTATGATCCAGCCATCGAGACTTGAACTCAGTACCATCGGTCTCTCATACGAACGCTAAACGTCTAGACTACTGATCCGTTTGACCGTTGCTTCCAAGTTTTCCGTGGTGGTCTAGCTTTAATCGATTCATAAATTCTACCATTAAATTACCACAATCTCAACAAAAGCCTTATTCTAATTCAATTAGTTCATCAAAAGTACTCATGATGAAATAAAATCACTTGAGAAAGATCGACAACTGGTTATTAAAATTTACTTGGTATTGTTTGCTTGTATCTTCCCATTTTATTTAGGACTGCTATTGATCAGTTTCTTATTGGCATATATGCATCCTGTGTGGATATCACTGCTAGCCACTACCCATCTTTGCTTATAATTCTTGTGAATTAAAGCAATATCGAGGTGGTCCGGACAAGATGCACATATGCTAGTAAGAGACTGATCAACTGCAATCCTATACACCAATGAAAAGGTACAAGCAAACAATACCAAGAGAATTTGAACTTTACCCCACTGCACAAGTATATGACTATCAAGACTCAGTCGCTAAGTGGATAATACGATATCGTTTGAATTGAATGATACTGTGTTCGAATCCCTGAGTGAACAACAACTCTAAGATGCAGGTACATCCAACTGTCGAGTCCCAAATAGGACGAAACGTGCATCAAACTGGATTCCACTGCTAACCCATGATCAGTTTTAAATTGATTCAAAATTTTAATTAACATAAATGTGAACTATTTATCAATGATCCCTACAGTCATTTAATCATCTCCAAATCTTTAAGGAAGACATTTAAATTGTATTAAAACATTGAATCAAGTGTAACAGTTAGATGAAGAATTAACTCAATGAATATCTCTCTCAATACTTTTCAGTAACATTGTCTAAACATACAATAGACAGTCATATATGAAATAAAGTAATAGATGATTGTAAATAGAAGATTTAACTGAATAACTCACTACTGTTTTAACTGATTCATTTGAAATTTCATCAACTTTCTTAGTTACAGATGATTGATCTTCCATTGTATAATTCACATTGAGAAGACTGAAATAATATAACGAAGAATAGTCATCATAATAATTATTATTATTACTATGATGGTCAATATAGAAATTCTGGATTAGTTAATAGTTTGTTTCCTAACCCTTTGATGTGAATCTCTTTCGTGTTTGGACACATTCATAGGCATATTCACTCAAACTCAAAAACCATCATTGAAGAACTCAGTTAGTATCTAGTTGTCTGTATGTTACGACTTCAGTAGGTTTGTGACATAGTGGTAGCGCTATGATTGAATACCATCGTTCTTAACATCATTAACCTTCATATCTATGATCATCCTATTACAACACTGATAGTTTTGTTTAAATGCTTATATTTACTACTTAAGTATGTCTTTGGAGTTGCATTTCTGAATACTTCTAGCTAAAGAGTTCCTATCTCAGTCACTCAATCAAATTTAACGTAGAACTTGGGAAATACGTGCATTCTGTTCATGTTGTTACACTACATTGGCACAGCGAAAGGTCTCAGATTAATCGAAATAGTAACATTATTGATTGTAATGATACCAAAACTAAGTATAGAAGAAACGGTTTGAGAAAAGATGTGGATTTAGGGTGTAGAAAAACTAAAAGGTAATCTAAAAATTTAGGATCTATGGAGGACAAAAACTGAATACTTGTGAGACATTTTACGTAAATTCTCTAGTCAATAATTGCAGAAATCACGAAGGCGACAAATATGTAGTCTGTATCTACCTGTATTGTATGGCCCAAGTGTCAATGATTTCATGAATTGATTCTATGTCTTGTTATGATTGCTTCTTGTTTTCCTCCAACCTAATCCTTCATCAGACAACATCGCCCATCAATGTAAAGAAGTTATAATTTACGATTTAAAATGGTTCTCCAACTAATGCCAGTTCTGTGATAAGTGGTAAATCCATATACTTACTTACTTACTTACGCCTGTTACTCCTTGTGAAGGAGCATAGGCCACTAACCAGCATTCTCCATCCAACCCTGTCCTGGGCAATCCTTTCTAGCTCCGTCCAGTTGTAATTCATCGTTTTCACATCTGCTTCTATTATCCATATACTAATATGGAAATAATTTTATAGCATGAATAGGCTGTTTTTCAGTTCATGGAAATGATCATTCCTTTTGATCAATGTCATCAAATGTTGTAAGTGAAAGCCACATAGTCGATTAACAGTGATTAACATTGTATACATAGTCAACATATACTTAAAGTTATGAATTGGAGATTGCTACCAATTATCAAAAATCCCCTTTTACTTACTAATTTAACGTAGTATTGTAGTGAATGAGAATACAAGTGGGGACAATCGAATGTAATTGAACACAAAATTACAGAATATTTTAATGGAATCTGAGAACCATAGAGTAGAGACCTCATCTGCAAAATGTCAAACAGTTGTCTCAGTCTTCATTGTTTCTTCATCTCTACACTAATCATTCTATGTTCTCGTTCTCTTTTCTTTGATCTTATTAACCTTCTGTTACCAGACATTTCACTTTCAATTGATGATGCATACTACTTATATCTGTCAACATCAGTAGCATACACCACAGTGTGACTTGATCAATAGAATTCCATAAAGCTAAGAACCGGATAACTTGACAACAGTTACCGTCATGTGCAACAACAGATAATCTTTTATATGTTTGTCACAATTTTAAATGAGTCAATAGTAACATCTAGTTCTATGGAGAATGCATATATATATATATATATATATATATATATATATATATATATATATATATATATATACTAAAAAGATGAATACCAACTCATATGAAACCTAAGTTGAAAGGTTGTTGCTGATAGCCCAAAAACTAATTGACATACTATAATCAAAATAGGTTTTGTGGAGATTTTAGTAATTTTATAGTTGAATTCATGAATCATGGGTTCGAATCTCGCGAGGTGGGATCATGGATGAGCACTGCTGAGCAATTTAATACTAGGACGAAATGGCCGTCCAGTGCTTTCAGGTTTTCCATGATAGTCTAGCTTCAACTGACTCATGAATTCAACTATAAGATATACTATAAGAATACAGATAGTTATTCATAAACTGTGCTTCGCACTCACTTTTTATTGATATTGTACAAAACAAATAGGTCAATAAAAGAGGTTTATATATAAATACACAGATAACCCTCCTAATATCCAATTCCTTTGACCAATTTTAAACATTCATTCATTATAATTATTATATTATTTTACTCTTTTGAAAAGAGCAACTATAGAGAAATATATTGACAAACAGATGGTGTTCCGATGGTTTCACCACTGGACCCTGGACTAGCTGATATTTTTCTAACTAAACTAGAAAATGGTCCACTAAAAAAGATTATTCAAAAATTCACATTTTACTGTGGAAATATAAATGACACATTCATCGTCTGCAAAGATAAAACATCACAGTAAGAGGTTCTTAGATGATTTAATGAAGTTCATCCGGCCATTCAGTTTACATCTGAAGAAGAAAGTGATGGTCGAAAAGCCTTTTTGGATGTTCTCTTAACTAAGAGAGGGGTTGGATCGTTAAAAAGGAACTTAAACAAAAAAGGTACATGGACTGGGCAGTATACGCATTTCCTTAGCTTTGTACCTCTACAGTACAAACGAAACTTCATCAAAATCATTAGTTACCGAATATGCACTATATGTTCTGCGGATATAGTTAAAGATGAGCTTAACACCTTACATAATACTCTTAGGGAAAAAGGTTACCCCAGAAAGTTTATAATTAAATATATGATCACGAAGGTGAGAATAGGCGAAATACAAACAGTGAATGAGAAATCTCTCTTCATGAGCCTACAATTCAGAGGGGATCAGGCTAGTGAAATATTGACTCAGAGATTACGCAGAACAATACAAAAATCTTTTAACTCCGGAGAACTAGGATTAGTGTTTTCTACGCGTCCAATGGTGACACCGAGGCTAAAAGATGAATTACCTAGGATGATCACCTCATTTTTTATTTATCAGTTCGATTGCCCATGTGGAGCAAGTTATATTGGTCGAAGTTCTGAAGATTTACATTTTCGTGCTCGCGAACACCTCCCAGCGTGGCTAAGCAAAGATCTAGTGAATAAAGTGAATAGCTCGATATTGGCCCATTTAGTACAAACTGATAATTGTGCCAGTATAAGCCAATCTTTTTCAATTATTTTTAAGGTCAGTAATTTTTTGCCAAAATTTATCAGAAATATCGTCAACAGCTTCTCTCCCTTGCTAACCTCAAGGCCAGTTAATCGATAGTAAACTTAACTATTGAATGACCTAATTTGACTATTGTACTTACGACCTATCGTAGTCAAATGTAATTGTCTCTGTTACCTTTATTTACAAATCTTTGTATTAAAATTAATATTAACACTTCGTGTTCATCCCACCTTATTATGTTTTACTAATGATTTTTTACACAATATAGTCTTCCACTAAACGTCTGATCGAATTAAGTCACAAGTTTTTCAAGCAAAAATGGATGGTGGTAGAATAGGAGTGGAATCCAGTTTGACAGGCGTTTTGTCCTATTTGGGACTCGTCAACTGAGTGTACTTGTATCTCAGAGTTGATGTTCACTCTGGGACTTGAACACAGTACCATTCAATTCAAACGCCATCATTTTATGCACTTAGATACTGAGTCCTGATAGCTAAATGCTTGTGCAATGGGGTGAAGTTTAAATTCACTTGGTGTTGTTTTACTTGCATCTTTCGATTGTTATTTAGGACTGCAATTGATTAGTCTCTTATTGACATATGTGCATTTCGTGTGTATTGCCTCGATATTGTCTTAATTCACAAACTTTATAAGCAAAGATTGACAAGTCCCAAATAAAACAAAATGCACGTCAAACTGGATTCCACTGCTAGCCACTACCCATCTTTGCCTATAATACTTGTGACGTCAAGCTATATCGAGGCAGTTCACACAGTATGCATATACAAGAGACTGATCAATTGCAGTCCCAAATAACAATGGGAAGATACCAGTAAAACAACACAAAGTGAATTTAACGAGTTGTAATTGCATTATTACTTCCCTCACCCTATCTGACTTATATTTATTCTAATCACGGATCCTAAATTTTCACTTAATATATAAGCTGTTTCAAATTAACATTCTATATGAGTCATATCAACATTAACAAACTTATTCTATTTTCAGTATGGGAGTTGTGGAGATTGTTAAGTTTTTGGTTGAGACCATGAATTAATTGATGTTAGATCACCGTTGGAAACCTGGAAGCACTGGACGGCCGTTTCGTCCTAGTATGGGACTCCTCAGCAGTGCGCATCCACGATCCCGCACCCCGCGTGATTCGAACCCAGGACCTACTGGCTTCGCGCCTGAGCACTTGACCATCAGACCACTGAGCCGGTATCCAATGGTGTTAGTGTCTAACATCAACCAATCCACGAAATTGTGCGACCACCTTCCATTGTACTGAGGTAGATACCTGTCTCTACCAGACGCGGATTAACTCCACTGGTCACGACTTCTCACTAGGACTCCGAGAATTCCCGCACGAAGCTAGTCACTAGTGAGCACATACTAGGACGAAACAGCCGTCCAGTGCTTCCAGGTTTCAAACGGTGATCTAACATCAATTAATTCATGATCTCAACCAAAAACTTATTCTATTTTGTTTGGCAATCCCAGATTCACATGCCTTAAACGATGTAGTTTGCCACTAACCTGACTATTTTTCGGATTATTCATTTAGATTATATAATTGTAGAACTGTTATAACTTGTGACTTGTGTACCCTGTTATTGTTTACGTAATGATACCGCCAAATGGAGAGCAGGGAATTATCGATCGGAACAATGACGCCTAAAACCGGTGCGAGCAGAGGATTTATCGAAAAGAATATTCTTCATCTATAGATCAGTCTTATATTATATTATCAATAAAGGGCTGTGAAGATTATTATGTTATTGAATGAGATCATGGACTGATTGATGTTAGACCACCATTGAAAACCTGAAAGCACTGGACAGTCGTTTCGTCTTATTGTAGGATTCTTCAGTAGCAGTGCACATCCACGATACCGCCTCATGGTATTCGAACCAAGGGCCTTCAGTCTCTCATGTGAACGCTCAACCTATTACACAACTGAGCCGGTATCCAACCATGTTAATGCCATTAGTATTTTTTCTTATTATCCTAATGTCCATCTAAATTATTGATTAATTTATAATCAATTTAACTGATGTCTATGAAAATATTTCCCTTTTTTTAAAAAATATTATTTGCTAATTATTTTTGCACATTTTTGAAAAGGTTAAAAAATAGGTGCCTAGTAACATGATGAATAAGCTTGATGTATTTCTTTTTTATTTTGATTGGTTAATAATTTATTGAATAATAAATCAATAATGACACGCTTTTTTCTATTGGTTAATGAATAATATATAAAGGATAAGATTTTATTTTTCAGTGTATAATGTAAATTTTGATTTCAATAGTTAAATCCATAAATCGATAAAAGCTGGATCATCATGAGAAACTTAAAGTACTAGATGGCTGTTTCGTTTTAATATGAAACTCATCAATGGTATGCATCTATAATCCCGCACCAGAGGGGACTCGAGCCCAGGAAATTTGATCTCATGCACAAACACTTGACCTATTAACCACTAGCTTCAAGATGATTTACTGAAGTTCTAGTGAAAAGCTGTGACCAGTAGAGTCTAATCTGTATTGAGTATCGAGTATATATCTACCTCAAACAATGAATGAATGGTTGCGCAGCCACTCATGGATCGATGGAAGTTAGACATTAACACCGTTGGATGACTGCTCAGTAGTCTAAAGTTTAAGCGTCTGCACAAGGGCGGCCTGCATGAGCATCTGGGCTACCTGTTCCTGCCATCTAGATATTTCAACAAGTTATCTATTGTTGTTTGTTTTAATATATCATTATGTTTATTAATCGCATAATCTATTCTGCTGCGTTTCTGAAAAGTGTACAACCTTTCGTTGTCAAAGTTACAGAAAACTCAATAAGAGACAATATGGTTGCTGGCAATGTACAACGAAAAGAATGTACATTATTCAGTTGTTCATTCACTGAAGTGCTAACATCTAACTGGCGATTCCTCAATATTTATCGCCAGGACCGACGAAGAAGAAAGAAACGGAAACTTGTTGAAATACTTTGCGCTGAGAATTTTATATTGTACCAAAATTATAATATTGAATAAAGCTAATAATAATAATAATAATAATAATAATAATAATAATAATAATTTGAAACCAAAGGTTCTGAGTTCAAAACCAATATGTGTGATCGTGGATGCGCATTGCTGACGGGCTCCATACTAGGATGTAATTCCATTGAAGCTAGACCACCATGGAAAACCTACAAGCACTGAACGGCCGTTTCGTCCTGTTGTGGGACTCCAACTGACTCATGATCTCAATTATTAAGAATGACTATAATATCCACAAAAACGCCCTTCTGATAATAATCAGCATATGCTCACCAGTGACTGGATTCAAGAGGTATTTACTAGAGTTCTAATGAGAAGAAGTGAATAGTGGGGTTCAATCGGGTCAATTGTGGGATAGTAACTCACTGAAGACAATGATAGACGGTGGGTCAATTTCGTGGATTAGTTGAAGCTGGACATTAACACCTTTGAATGCCAGCTCAGTGATCGCGTGCGAGACTGATGGCTCCTGAGTTGGTATCTCAGGAGGCGGAATCGTGTATGTGCACTTTTGAGGAGTCCCACAAGGAGGACGTAATGGCTGCCCAGTGTTCCAAGGTTTTTTATGGTGGTCTAGCTTCAATTTAATAATGGTCTCAACCATTAAAATTACTGAAATATTTATTAGCGAATAACAGAATTAGATTTTACTTGTTTATTACTATCACAATTATACTTTAGTGATTACATTCAAAGTTTATCTAATATACGTTTAAGAAACCAGGCCACTTTATAATTCAAACATGCATAGCTTATCTCTAAAGAAATTTAAATTTAATTCTGAGAGTTATTTCCAAAAAATAACTTATTTTTTGAAATGGATAAACCTGTAAAATAAAGTTTTTATGACTTTTCTAAGTGTTGGCATCGGATAGATTACTATGCAATTGATTGATCACTGGGCAGCAATCAATACCATCTATTTCAAGTTCATTTCAACGTTGATCGAATTTAATTGATCAAGTTTCAATGTGGTTACTGTTCTGAGTTACTTTATTACTTATGCACTATTTTGAGGTATTAAGTAGTTAGAGATTGTCGATAAGAAACCTTGGACTTAGATTTCGTGCTATTTGGCACTCTTCAATGAGATATACCTGTAAAATTGGTAGAATTTATTCTTCCTTCCAGATTTGATCCTGTATCATCTAGTTCCAAAGACATGGACGTTACCACTGAATTATCCTGTCCCTATTAATACTGATCGAATTCAATCGATAGATTACCCATCAATATATATTTATTTCGTAGTTTATCTTCTTTCATAAGATTCCTTAGCCTTACGTTATGTTGCCTGTGGACAATATAGTTATGTTTGAATGCGACAATGATAACAATTACCAGCTCTATTGAGTTTATTTTGACGAATTTCAGGCGACAGTCTTGTTTCTACTATATAGCTGTGTAATTTACGAACATGAAGTACATTAATTACATTTAGCAATCAGTTTACGTATTTTCGGAGTTCAATCCAGGTAAAATTAACCGTACCAAATCTAATTTTGAATACAGTAAATCCATTTCGTAATCGTTGAATTCATCCCGCATTCAATGCGTAATCGATATTTATTTGTTTATCTATAGTCTAGTACACATCACATGTATAATTATTCCGATCACTGATCACGTAGATCAATTATGCACAGTATGACCAGGTCAAAGTTGATCTATTCCACTTACACAACAGTCAAACTCATAAATGTTAGCAATGATGATATGCCTTACAATGTCCCAATAACAATGGCCATTGAGAACACTGAAAAGTAACCACCAGTCTGAATAAAATCGGTTAAACAGCAAACCAATTTTGCGTATGAACAGTCAGTAAAACTTGCCAAACTAATACCGAACTATCCACACTATCAATACTGAACCTCCAGTCCCATATAAGACCTTCAGTTCTACATAACAATATAACAATATCACATATAACCTTTTACATAGTTATTAATCTTACCTGCATATTTCTAATAACAAATTATTATTTTGTTCTTCTAACATTATCACCAATTCATTGAATACGGTAGATTTACTTTGTAAATTACTTAAACATTTCAATAGATCACTTTCACGTCGATTAAATTCTGTACAGTTTTCTATGGTTGATTCTTCAAATTGTTTATAATGATGTCGGACATTATTGATTTGTTCATTTACTTCATTCATTTCATTGGTTTTTTGATCTGTGTTGTTTTTGGTTGATGAAAATTAGGGCAAAAATATAAAAAAGAGGAGAGAATGATTTAAAACAAGAAACATTTTTTTCAAAGTTTATTCGATTATAAGTTCGAGCCTTGTAATGGAAAGTTGTAATAGTTATCCCGCACTTGAAATCACTTTTGATTTGCCTAGGGTATAATATCTTTTTGTTGCTAGCGTTTTCTTAGCGAGTTAAAGACCGGTGTCAGACAAGATTGCTTACTCTCACACTTTCTCGTTCTCCTCGTGATCGACAGGATCATCAAGATGTCAACATCTGAGGAGAAGCAAAGGATACGGTGGACATCTAGGATGCAGCTGCACGATCTACACTTCACAGATGATCTGGCTCTTCTGCCACACACGCAACAACAAATGCAGGAGAAGACCAGTGTGGCAGCAACCTAAGCAGCAGTAGGTCTCAACATACACAAAGGGTTTTTGGAGATTTTAGTAATTTCAGTAGTTGAAATCATGTGTCAGCTGAAGTTAGACCACCATGGAAAAACTGGAAGCACTGGACGGCCAGTTCGAATCTCGCGAGGGGGCTGGATCGTGGATGAACACTGCCATGGAGGATTCCCATACTAGGACGAAACAGCCGTCCAGTGCTTCCAGGTTTTCCATTGTGGTCTAGCTTCAATTGACTCATGATTTCAACTATAGTTAATTATATTTGATATAAAAAGACAATATAAAATGCCTTAATAATTTGTATTGTGAATACGTATTGAACACATATAATCATTTCAGAAAATTCCTATCATGAACTGATATTTGTTTATTGCTTATTGAATGATTAGTATTACATTGTCGATAGGATATGATCTAGATGTTTTTCTTTATTTTCCATTCAACATTTAGTTAATTTAATTTAAATTTACCTAAATGGTTGAAGATATTCCTAGTTATGAATATGAATGACTTGTGGAGATTGTGAATGTGTCTTTTTTATAGTTTAAATTGGACAGTTGTTTCGTCTTAGTATAGGAATCCTCAGCAGTATGCGTCAATAAAATCTCAAGGGACTGAGATTAAAACATTTAGGTACCACAAAAAGAGTTGACCTTAAATGATTGTGTAACTAAAGTAAGTTCATGATGTAAGCTATAATATTCCTTTTATTTTCTTCATCACGTCAATGTTTAAATTCGACAGTACACGGCATTCCTGCTTACGTTTATGTTATGTTCCTATAAGAATAACGAGTGGTAACTTTGGGATTTATTTATGGAGGCTAAAATTGGTGTTCCGGACTTAACTGGCTGAGCTAGGCGGAAAACAGGACCAATCAGGACTCTAGACTGCTCGTATGGGTTTTATGCGTCACTGTTCCGATCGATAATTCATCGCTCTCTGATTGGCGGTATCGTTACGTTATACAATAAACAGGGTACACAGGTTACAAGTTACAACAGTTAAAACTAAAAGTTAACCATTAAACTGTCTAATGTCAATCATGACTCCTTACTAAACGTACCTAATTCTTCTTCTAATTTTTTAATCTCTTCAATTAATAATTCTTGACTCAATGATTCTAAGCGTATAGTACGTGGTTTACAACTTTTAACTGGTTTCTCTATCTTCTTCTCATTAATACGTAGTTTAACATTTTCATCTTGTAATTCAATCAGCTTCTTTTTCATACGTGTTATCTATGAAATAGAAAGGAGAAAAAAGAATGAAATTAAAGAGATTATCAACGATAGATACATAATTAGTGCATAGTATTGTAACTATCCTACCATTATTAGATCTATGCTTAGGTTTAATTAAGTCCTTTAATTAAGTTACTTAACAGACAGTGTTATTAGAACAGTAACAATACACCTATTCACTTGTACTGTTATGATCACTAGATCACATGATAGACTAGTTAAAATGTTGATTACTTAAATATCACTTGGTGATTCATTCTCCTCCCTATGTAGGTATGTACTCGAATCCGATGATTAGTCCTTGATTTGTATTGCTGTGCCCTTATGAGATTTGACTACAAATTTGCCTTTGTAGTTGCTCGCATATATATACATATTCGTCTCTGTGCTTCAAATTCAATTGATGTGTTTATAGCTTTGTGATCTGCGCTATCCGCTAATGAACTGTAGTTGCGGCTTCTCATTGCCTCTTGGTTTCAAACACCCTTGAGATTTATATTATAAGTTATCGAGGTGATTTATTAACGAAATAAAGCCACTACTATAGAATCTTCTTTTGGGTTCTTTAATACACCAATGTTTTATTATAGATTAGATTCGTCTTAATGTATATTTGATAAATACTTGATCCAGTCGACAAATCACTATTGGCAATATCATTACATTATATGTGAATAGGGATGTGATTCTCCCCCTCGAAATGCTTCAGGATTGGGTTGCATCGACACCCGAACTAATGATAGGGTATGAAGTTGTTGAGCGTGTCGACCGCTTCACTGATCTTAGGAGTCTCATCAGTCCTTGTGGTCTGGTGTGTGACAAAATCTCAGCACGGATACAGAAGGCTCGACTAGCTTTTGCCAACTTGCGTCATTTATGGCGTAGGCGAGATATCCATCTACCAACTAAAGGACAAGTTTAATGTAAAGCAGTTCGTTCCGTCCTACTTTATGGCAGTGAAACATTGCTGGTAAGAGTAGAGGACATTCGTAGATTACTAGTATTTGATCATAGGTGTCTTCGAAACATTGCTCGTATATCCTGGGACTATCGAGTAAGTAATGCAGTTGTTAGGAAACGGATACTAAGTAAGGATGGCAAATCGATTGATTAAGTGGTGAGACTTCATCAGTTGAGATGGCTGGGATACGTGTTATCTATGCCCAACCACCAACTGCCCCGACGAGCGATGTTTTAAGGTGTAGGTGTTTGTTGGTAGAAAGGTAGGGGTGGCCAGACCAAAACATGCCACAACTCCATGAAGTCACTGACAAGTGAACTGCACCATGTTGGTAGTTGTAGACTACCAGGTTGGGATCCGCGAGACGGTGGCGACCGATGGTTAGACACCTTGAATGACATGGCACAAAATTGTGTGCAGTGTCGCAGGTGCATCCACTCTTTGTGTTCTCCTGAATTCTAAGCTTCTGGATTCTTCATGTCCCCTTTTTTCTCTTTGCAGATTTAATTCACTGGATTATACTCCTCGAATAACTTCTTCAAACTCCAATGTTTTCGATTACTGCTTATGCTTTTCTTACCTCTACCATTATTGGATTCGAATCGACAGTTGTATCTATGTGCTAATGCGATATGCTGCTAATGGATATGACGTACGTACGAAGTTCTACGTTGTTACTGACTGGTTGACTGACTGACTGATATGAATAGGGGCACAAAGTGACAAGTTATAACAAACAAACATATATATACTTACTTCATTCTCTTGATCTTTCATTGTTTCACGTAGATCATTATATTTTTCAAACCAATTATCCGATTTTTCAAAACTACTTAAAACACGTAAATCACGTATAATTTGTTTTAATTGTTTATCTGTATCGCGTAATTTTAATTTTAATTTATCATTTTCTTTTAGCGCTTTTTCAAATTTTTCTTTATATTCATCATTATTGAATGTTGATTCTGTTGTAGTTTTTTGTATCATTTGAGAATTTGATTCATCATTATCTATCGGGAAAGTTTCTTTACTGGACAAATTACCTTAAATTAATATACATGTATACATGTTAGTTTAGGAAGTAATTTACTGTATTTATTTAAACATATAAACATTGGTACAAGGAGGCATCAAATAGTTATGCGCCATACAGATCTCATTTGATATGTGTGAGGATTGAGATACTGCTCGGGTGCCTAAACCGAAGTAGGTGATTTTCTTAGGAAACCACATTCGGATCCTTCGACTTAAAAGTCTGATCCACAAGGTAGTGGAGCAACGTCAGAAGATATAGTCACATGGTAGCCCGGTGTAGTGTCAGTCATTATGTTAAGCCCATATACCATATTCTAACTTTTGAACAGTCCAATCTATTCATTCTACTTGAGTCAAATTTTGACCTTGTTAATTATTCGCTTATCAGTCTTGACTGTTTTTATATGAGCGTATATGTGTGTACACTTCATATCCCATGTTTCATCACATGTCTGTAGTTTATTTTGTCTGCCTATTAATACTGAGTAACGCCTGGCTAAAAATGAGTTGGATTACCAGCCATCTCCACTGTGCGGCATTTTGCTTTGTTCTATTACATTCACTTTACATGCAAAATATATGTATTCAAAGGTCATTCTCGTTATTTGACTTATCTAAATTCCGTTATTGACTAACGTGATTTAAATCGATGATTGTATACGAGGATAGGTGATAACAAATATTCTTACAATCTAAATGAAGTCAGATCCACGGGCCACTAAACCGGTCACCTTACAATAGGTTCATACATTATTTAGTAAGAATCAATAATAAAGTCTTAAGTTCGAATCCCGTTTCAATCATTTTATTTAAGAAATCATTAATATGAATGAACAAATACATTGAAATGAACTAACTTGATTCATTATTGGGAATATTTTGTGATAAACGATTTGTCATTGTAATTGATCTTAGTTCATTATCTATATTCAGTTTATTTTTTATTCGTTCAGCTACTCCAGTTAATAAAGTTTTAGTTGATTCTAAATGAATAGTTGAATTAGTATTATTACATGATGGACTAATTGATGGTAAAGTTTGATGTTCTTCAGTATTTCCAATTAATCGATTTTCACGTGACTATCAACGAAAAGGGATAATTCAAAGAATAATGATCAATTAGGTATTTGAAAGATAAGACTTATTTTTATATGGTTAGCAACTAATGATTTATAAAAGAAAAGTAATTGATGTTTCCACTTCTTCTTTATATACTTCCTTACGCCTGTTACTCCTAATGGAGCATAGGTCGCCGACCAGTATTCACCAACCCAATCTGTCCTGGACCTTCCTTTCTACTTCTATCCTATTGTTGTTCATTCTTCCAATGTCTGTCTCCATTTCTCAGCGTAAAGTGTTCTTTGGTCTTCCTTTTTTCCTTTGTCCTGCTGGATTCCATGTGTGTGCTTGCCTTGTGACACAGTTGGGTGCTTTCCTCAATGTGTGTCCTATCCAATTCCAGCTCTTCTTTCTCATTTCTTCATCCACTGGAATCTCATTTGTTCTTTCCCACAGTTGGTTGTCGTTGATAGTGTGTGGTCAACGTATCCGAAGTATTTTGCGTAGACAACTGTTAATAAACATTTGTATCTTCTAGACGATGACTTTCGTAATTCTCCACGTTTCCGCCCCATATAGTACAACTGTCTTGACATTTGTATTGACAATCCTGTTCTTTATATAGCAAAGATGAAACTGGATAATTAAATAATGAGTTGCTTTTTATAGCTTACAAATTAATATACTATTGAGAATCAGGAAGCACTAAAACAGGGATTGAATGTAGAAATCTTTAAATGTTATTGTGAACGATTAAACATAAAGATCAGTAAGTCAGAGTTTAATAGTACAATTATAACTTCAATCAACTTGTGATATATGATGAATGATAATTGTTCGATATGTCTGAACTTCATAAGTTAAGTAGTTATATTCAAACATCAAGAGACTATTAAGTAAACTCCTGCATTCTAATTGAAAAGGGTTTTTCAAATAATGTTGATCGATAAGGTTCTATGAACATTTGGAAATAGACGTATTTTACATTTACTTCTAAATGAAAAGACCAAGAACAAAGATTCTAGCAGAATAGCATGAATTCATTTCTATTTTGTAGATTCTCGTCAGCTGCTTACAACCTGTGATATTTAAAAAAATCATAATTACATAATGGGTTTAAATTGCTTACTGAATATTGTAAATATATATACCTTATGTGAAAGAATATTGTACAATATTGATTGTGACAACAGTTCAAAAGTGGGTTAGAAACAATCGATTACATAATGAATAAACATTGATAGGAATACAGTGAGTAGAGTTTAGTTGAAAGATTATTCATTTGAAAGTTAGTTAAAAAAAATTATCACAGTTGATCGATAGCGGTCATATAGTGGACAGAAACAAATCGTTCAAAGTTATTTATCGGATTCCCACTAGTTTTCCTCATGGTGTTCGATCTCGTCTCTTACATATAGCAGAAGCTATAGGAATCCGAGCCAATAATCCAAGCGTTTGTGTTCAGAAGAAATTTGTAACACCCTTATCTCTCCCTTGGCCTTAAGTAATAAGTGAATTTATTTATTCTTTTTCTAACTTTCTCTTCGTTTATTATTTTCCATCACACCCTCCTACCACTTTATGTCCTCTCAACTATAGGTTTCACGGTCCAGTTATCTGAACATTTCTTATTACGTCATCTTATAATTTTATAATTGTTATCTCAGTTTCTATATTTTTCTAATCATTGACCTATTTCAGATTATGTAACATTGATTTGAACCTTTATTATTATTGCTTATCAAAACTAATGCACCTATTGTCACACCATCAATTTGTACTTTTCACATTTTACTTATTATGTAATCCTTTTCCATTGTTATCATTGACTTATAAACTACCTTGATTGGTTTAATAATTTCGTATATGTTGCATATAAATATTACTGTATATTAGAGTAAAGCCTGATGAGGATCTAATGGAAAACAATATTGTTCGCTAATATCTATGTTGTTCTAAAAAAAATTGTAATCAATGATGTAATAAATACAAACGAAAAAAGAAAAAGATTTTTAAGGTGAAGCGAAAGAATATTTGTCACCAAGGCAACGAAAGATTAACAACCGTCTCCTTTTGAATACATAGGTCAGGTTTTTGACGCCTGATGGCAACGGCTTCAATAAACTTCAGGAGACTGGAGTTTGGCTGCTTACTAATCACCCCAAAGGATTGTAAGGTATCTGATGTACCTGATGTCCTGTATCAAGGAGATGTTTGGTGATTGCACTGTTCAGAGTCTTTTTTT